GTGTCAGCGGAGCAGGAGGCCCACAGGTGGATGCCCTTCCAATAGCAAGAGGATGGGGAAGGCTGTCGGTGTTTTCTGTTCTAATACGGTGACTGATCTCAGTAATGCACTATGCAGGAGCCAGAGGTGGCCTTCCCTGACTGCCCCTTCCCTCTGCTGGGTGACCAGTGGGTCCTCCAGCTGCACAAGAGCACAGAGCCTCACTGTCCAGGACTGAGCGGTTATCAGAAGATGTGCTATGGCAGCAGGAAGGTCCTTGCTCTCAGCACTGGACATGGGTCCTGTGTGGTGCTGATTCACTTTGAAACCACCTGCCACCCTCATGCTGACCCTGGGGTCTGCTCCCACACCGTCCTGAGTGCGCCCATAAATTCCCTCCCTCCCATTCCCTCCCTCCCCCACACATGGACTGGCTTAGGCTCTCCAAGACAATGATTCCTAAAGAGGAAGGAGAAAGGACTCAGGAGCAGTCAGCAGGGGAAGACAGAGGCCTCCTGAAGTCCGTTTCTGGTCCTGAGAGGGTGGCAGGCCCCAGGGACAGCACATTGCCCTCCCCTCCCTGCCCCTGCCCCCGGCGCCTCCTCCCAGCTGCTCTCATCAGTCCCATGCTCCAGCAGTCGTCTCTTTGACCCACCTGTCCCTCCCAACAGTGAAGCTTGGTCCTTCCTGGTTTGCAGGACAGTGCAGGTCAGTGCTGCTGGGCCGCCCGTCAGAGGGAGGCCCCTGGCCCTTTCAGCAAAGCCTCCGGAGCTGTCCCTCCCTCCACACCCAGGGGAGCGCTGGGCCCATGAAGGGGAAAGACCCACACCTGACAGTGGAGTCAGCAGGGGGAGGGCCCCTCCTAGCAGGGTGCCCCCACCACTGCCCCAGGCCCAGGGACTTGTGAAAGGCCTCTCACAGGTAGAGGCAGTTCTACTTTTAGTGATGTCAATAAGGACAGTCAATAAGAGATGAAAACAAACAGCCTTAAGAACTCAACCCCCCATCAGTCCGTCACCCCTCACTGTCACAGAGCCTTCACCTCCCCCAGGAGTGTCACCAGCTAAAACTACATTTGCACACAAAGGACCAACCTGGCAGTGCCACCTGTGTCAGTGTTCTCAAATTAGCACTGTCCTGAGCCAGATTCCCCCGCTGCTTCCTCCTGAGTATTTTTGGTGTCACACATCATAGTAGTGACATACTCCAATACCTTTCCTATCATGTGGCATTTGGGGTTTCTAACGAGCCCACCCCTAGTCACGTGGCAGGTCAGTAAGACACAGCGCAGTGGGACGATTGCAGGCTGCCCCCCGGCTTGTCCTGAAGAAATGGCTCTGTGTGTCCCAGTGAGCAGAGGGATCCCGGCTATAACCTTCAGAGACAGACTGTCCACCAGGCAGGGGCCATCAGCGTCCGCCTCCTTACGAGAACCTCCCTTTCTTGGGTACTTTGAGGTTCCCTGGTGCTGTCAGCCTTGCGACGGGAAATGACCAAGAGAGCATGAAATAAGGAAGGCCAGTGTCAGAGGGGGCGATCCAGGCACAAGCAGCACAAAGGAATTTCTGCCCAACCCACTTCAGATAGCCGGGAAGGGAGGGGCTGCAAGTCCCCTCGAGAGTCACTGAGGAGGATGAGGCTGCCGGGCCCCCACAGGCCAGCAGGTGACAGCTGGTTCATAATGAAAACCTGAGGGCTGTCTGAGGCTGAGGGGAGAGTGGGGGTGGCACAGAGGCTGGCGCTGGCACTGGCACCTCCATTACCCATGGGGCTGAGCTGCCCCCGGTTTCACCTGCTGGTTTGTCTGGATCCTGCTCAGTGAGGGAACCCAGAGACCCCTCACCACTGTTCCTTCTCATCTTCTTTAGTGGCACTTTGTGTCCTCAGCATGTTTAGGCTGAAGTCCCTGGGCCAGGCTTAACCTGACTCCCTCCCAGGGTGGCTCCTGCAGCCCCACAGCTTTACAACCTGGGGTCAGCTGAACAATACCCGCCCCCCCCAAGGCATTCCTGTCCTAGTCCCTAGAACCCATGAAAATGTTACTGCACATGGCACATGGGGCTTTGCAGATGGGATTATATTAAGGATCTCGAGATGAGGCAGATTATCCTGGATTATCTGGATGGGACCTAAACACAAGCACAGGTGTCCTCACAGGGGAGGGAGCAAGGCAGGGAAGTCAGAGAGAGAGGTGAGCACAGAAGGGGGACTGGGAGGGGGCTATGGAGAGAGAGAGAGAGGGGAGCACAGGAGGAGGACTGGGAGGGGGCTATGGAGAGAGAGAGAGGGGAGCACAGGAGGAGGACTGGGAGGGAACATGGAGAGAGAG